GTGCTTCGCAGCAAAGAGCCTTTTTTGAGAAAAAGGGTACGAAATTATCAAGTATCCGCAAATTCCGGAAAATATACAATGCATTCCTTTGCGAAAGTCAATCCTGTAGGGTCTGTCCTTGAAACACCGATCCTGGTAAGACCCCAATTATAATGTCCGAAAATCCCATTCTGAGCCCGATCCCGGCGCGATCCCTTTTCCCGGTGTGATCCCGTTCCCGGTGGGATGTTATTTTCTTGTGGCTACGGATCGAGAGGGAAACAAGACCCGTTAGGATCCCGATCCCGTCGGTGTTTTGATCACAGTGGGCTACCGATCCCGTTAGGGTACCGTTCTCTGTAGGATGCCATTCCACCTTTTCCGATGTTATCCCTTTCCTCATATGATTCTGATCCCGGTTTGATCCCGTTACCCGATTGGATCTCGATGGTATCCTGTTCCCGCTGGGATCACGTAACCAATGGGTCCCATTAGGTTCTTGTTTCTCTATTGGATCATGCTCAGTGCGATTTTGTTCGAATAAGCTTTTAGATATAATTATATATCCCCCTAGAGCAAAATAGAATATTCTAGATTAAATTTAATATCCTCCATGAAACGTGTAAAAAATTACTTTTCTAAGTAATTATCTTTTCTCGAATGCGAAATATAATATAACTTAATGGAACTACAACAACTATAATACGTTTAAATTGATATAGGGGCCCAGGTGGCGGCCAATTTAATAAAGTATCGTTTTTTATGTCTGAAATGGGGGGCCCTATAAAAAGAATTCAGATAATTATAGATTTAAAATTTGTCCTATTAAAATTGGTTTATAAATGCCAATGATATAGATTTTAAACTATCGAAGTTTCTAGAAAATTCTAGATTGGCCCTTAATGGATTGGATATTATTAGTTTTAAATCCAACGATATTTTAATGAGCACTAAGAAGGGTATTGCTACAAAGCTAGGTCTAGATCCACCTATTCACATAGAGCATATAGCGTTGTCTAACATTATTAATATTTTATATAGCTTATATTAAGAAAAATGAAATTGGTCGCCCGGCCCCAGAGGGATGGATATAATGAATTCAGTATCCTTAGGTCTTTGAATATGGATAATCAAGTGTATATTTACTAAGTTGGGTCAAGATCCATCTATTCATGTGTTAGCATTAAGCCTATTGTTGTTTTTTAAGCATACATGAGAAAAATGAAATGAGGATGCCGGCCCCAGAGGTATGGGTATTATGAGATGAGTACACTTCGGTATTTGAATATGGATAATCAAGTGAATGTGTGCTAAGTTTGGTCAAGATCCATCTATTCATGTAGGAGTACTAAGCCTATTGATATTTATTAAGCTTATATAAGAAAAAATGAAATGGCGACCACGCCCAGAGGGATGGATATTATGCGTTAAGTTATCTTCCCCATTTGACGATGGCTAATCAAATGTATGTATATCAAGTTTGGTCATGATCGATCTATTCACGTAGCAGTATTTCTTGATCATTTTATTTACATAGCTTATATTGTAAAAAAACGACATTTTGGACCCCGGCCCAAAACGGTTTAGAGTTTCAAAATGAAACCTGCTTAACTTTTGTTAGTAAGCCGCACGAAATAAAAGTGCCAAATTTCAAGCTTCTATCTACAAGGGAAGTTGGAGAGTTAGTGATGAGTCGGTGAGGGCTTTGCCTTTTATCAGAATACATTTATTGCTTTTATAAACCGGCTCTTTATGATAAATAATAAACTGTAGATATATTTGTTAACATTTTTAGTTCCTTTAGGGGTGGTATCTTTGGTGAGTTACCACACTGTGTACCACCCCCCACCCCCATAGCTTGATTCCTGGAGGTGAAGTGTTCAGTGCTAAAACAAAAATTATATATTGTAACCATTTTCCCAGGTGGCATGTTTAATTATTACAACCACATTTTGCCAACCATTACAAACACGTTTTGAGAACCACTACAAACATATTTTTCAAACCACTACAACCACATTGTGCCAACCACTGCAACCACGATTTTCCAACTACTATAATAAAATTTTACTAACTATTCCAAACGCATATTGCTAAACACTACAAACCTCATTTTCCCCAACCATTGCAACCGCATTTAGCCAACCACTCAACCCCATTTTGCGAACCATTGCAACAACATTTAGTCAACATTGACAACCACATTTAGCCAACCATTACAGCCACAATGTAAACATTCGCCTTAGATCTCCTCTTGATTTCCTCCACAAATTATTCTGTGCCCAGACACTTGATGTTGGAGATCTGAGCGAGAGGCTGGAGTTAAAATCAAGACTCAAATGTAAAGATTTTTCTTGGTACCTGGAGAACGTTTGGCCGGAGCTTGGTGTGTTAGATGAAAAAGCCAGTCATTGGGGACAGGTAGGTTAGAATGTCCTTCAGTTGGGTGAGCCATTCAATATGCTGATTAAGATATTGTCTCGTGTATTGAATGGAGTATAATAAAACAAGATTTTCCCCCAAAAGTTCTCTTTGGAAAATAATACAGCATTAATTGGAAGTGTATTTTTAAAAATCTTATTAATAACATATATAAGTATAGGGCTAGCGGCCAGATAATATTAATGTTGTCTATAACATAGAAGAAATAACATGTTTGGTTTATTAAGGTCATGAATTCAGCGAGTGAACTTTGTCTGGACACCAACGGCTACCTTTTCCAGACCAAGTCAGCATTGCGTCTTTGGCGATGCGTGGATACACTAGATTATCAGGTGGGATTATTTCTCAAGGTTATCTTATGGGATTATGTCTCAAGATCATCTGGTTGGATTATGTTCCAAGATTATATCGAGATCTCCAGCCACTGCACAGAAGGCTCTGCACCGGCATATCTTAAAGATTTGATTAATAAACATGTATCCAGAACCTGCGGTCTTCAACTTCAACTCAGTCTTTACTGAAAATTCCTAATGTGGATGAACACAGAAAAAAACAATCTTACGGAGTGCGCTCTCTTGAAGTGATAGCACCTAAATTGTGGAACTGTTTGCCTCAATCTTTAAAGCGATTAGCAAATGATAAAAAATAATTTAAGGAATATTTAAAGACAATTTTTTTGTT